CCCCCCGCCCCGCCGCCATCGTGCCAGGATCCTGCGACCGTCAGAGGTTCCGCAGAGGTGACCCTGCGGCCACATGATCCCGCAGCACAGAAGATGGTTACATCACATTCCTCCAGGTGCACACGCCAGGGCAGGACAGGGGCTGGTCACTGCCCTGGAGCACCCCTCTCTGCAGCCTCGTGGCTGACCAACACCCTCCTCTAACCAAATTCAAGGAGTCCCGAACCGAAGGAAACTCCGACGGGTGGTGCCATTGATGTGCCCCCTTTCCAAGCACAGCTGCCCTTAGACCACTCCAGGCGGGTGGCTTCTGACCTCAGTGAACCTTCTGCCTGAGCAAGATGTTGCCATGACTCCCTTTCACGCTCCAAACACAGTCCTTACAATCATAAAGCTCATCTCTCCCTGCTTTTAAAATCACACTCAGGGCCCTTTAGGGTAATGTTTAAGATCAGATTTTCCACCCCGCTCCCAGCCCTCCTTCCCTCCGTCCACCCCGCTCTGCGCGTTAGACTGAGCGTGTTACAGATGCTACGACGAAGGGGTTAGAGGGACCTCTTCCAGCCGCTTCTGGCCGGAGAGGCAGGGGGGTCCCTGCACCACCAAGGGTGGGGCTGAGGAGGGGTCCGGGCAGCGCTGGACTCAGGCCCACATCCCCAAGGTCGGGGGCAGCGTACAAGCTGTGGGACACGACACGTTACCTTCTCTGAGCCCAGCTCCCCGTCTACAAAGGGGGCGTCAGTGCCCATAGGAGATAATCCCGGTGGGATGAAACGAGACCGTCCCTGTCCTGTCCCCTCTCGTGTCCCGCCCTGTCCGCCTCGGTGCTCTAGACCAGGAGAGCCCGCAGAAGCCGACCCTCACCCACTGTCCAACCTCGGGATCCAAAGAGCAGCTCCACACCAGCTGTGGAAGAATGACGCCCTCGAGGAGAGCGCGTGAGTGAGAAGGTCTCGCCGTTGCTCCACTGGCTGCCAGCTTTCCCTTTTACTGTGTGGCTTTCACACCCTCCTTCCTTCCAGAAGCTACTCCACCATCCAAGGAAGATGCCTGCGGTCTCTACAGCCGGCTGGAAAGCTCCCCCAGAGCTGGTTTTGCTTTAAGAAGCGTAGGACGGCTTGCCTAGGCTGGGTCGGGACACCTGCTTCTCACTGTATGCTCGACGTGGCCCTCGGGGGCCCCTCCACTGCACCCAGGCTGGGACACTGGTGTCTACAAAGTCATGGGCCTCACAGCAGAACAGCCAGACTGCTCCACGGTGGATGGGCTGTCTGTGGAGACACCACCCCCGCCAGGGTCCTGTTCTGACCCGATTCCCGAGTGAAGGTCTGCATACAAGATGGGTGTCTGGGACCCGCCCAGGGGAGTTATTCCCACCAGCCCAGAAGAATCCATGAAACAGCCTCACTGCAGGGCCCCCGGGCTGCTCATCTCTGTGCTGCCTCTGAGCCCCGACGGACCTCATCACCAGCCCAGGTGAGCTGTTCCCCACCTGATCTCTGCGGCGGTTTCCAGCGCTGATGTTTTAGGGCTTGATTAGGATGAGCTAAAGGTGATGGGCGGGGCAGCAGAGGCGTCTGCTCTCCCCGCAGGGTGTGGGGTTAGGATGGCCTCTAACACGATAAACTTTGGGTCCAAAGTAAGAAGGGGGTCGGGAAAAAAGCCGTTGCTAGTGTCTTTCTCACGCCGTCTGACCGGGTGCTGGTGGGACGCTGTCTCAGGACTCCAGGCGTGTGGCAGCCATGCTCATGAGTAAGTCCAAGGAAAACGGATTGTACTGATTAAATTGTAAAAAAAAAAAAAAAAAAGCTCAAATAATGATGCACGTGCCCTTGACACGTATACGGTGTAGACCAGTGATGTTCAGATCACCGCTCTCGAGCCCCACAGGGCCCTTCTGTGGGCAACCTGCTGCTCTCGGAGGCCCTCAAATCTCCGTGCGTCAATAACACGCAACCCCAGACGCCGCAGGGCGGCGGTGGCCACGCGGCTCTGCTGGCGAACGGTGACTGCAGAGGGGCTCCTGCGAACAGAACTGAATACGCTGGATAAATACTTAACCTGCTTATAACGCAAGCGTTTTGGTTCCACGGTCTGTCTTTTCCAGGTTCATCTGCACAAATGTCTGTCTTCGAGGACTGGGGCTGCACTGAAATGGTCTTAACAACATGAGAGAGAGATTCCCATATGCACAGATACTTAACCCATGCATTCTTTGATCTTGAGGAGGAGAAAGAAAGAAGAGAAGAAATTCCCGTTGCGGGAGGGCAGGGATTTTTGAGGACTTTGTGCATCGCTATATCCTCAGGGCCAGAAACAGCGCCAGACACAGAGCAGACCTTTAATTGCTTGATGGATGGATGGGTGGGTGGAAGGATGAATGAGCTGAGTGTACTTTAACGTATTTTTTTTATATAATTTACTGGCCAACTCATTGACTCTAACTACTTAGAGAAACACCTCAAACGATGCCCTCTCTCTGCTGCCTTCCTGAGCCCTGTTCTTTCTACGGCCTCGGTGGTATCTGTAGCTCTTCCTCGAAAAATGAATAACTGGGCTCCCCGTGGGTGAGCTCAGCTACCACGTAATGACGTGTCACTGAACTGTGTCTGCACTGGAGCCACCCTGTGTCACCAGCGCCCGACAGCTGGCAATTTCCTAAGTGCCGATGGGGCTCCTGCCTGGGGCACAAGCACGAGTGGCTGGAGCCGTGGGTCAAGGGTGATCATACCCTCTTCCCCCTTTTCTCAAAAGACGACTTAGTTTTTGAGCTGAAGAGAACTGGCAAATACACTGTGTTGTAAAATCTTTTAGCAAAATCTCAAAGGCAAAGACACCACTTTGATAGAAACGCACATCATTAGTAGCGGCATTTCTTCCCTTGTATTTGTTTCAAAGGGCAAACTACAAAGTTCTGAAGATCAGAATATAGTTTCTGAGCCGCGGGCCTACCTTTTCTGTGAATCTATTAAGCGGCCAGTCCCTTAACGAGCCCATCTCGTCCACTCTGCTCTTGACTGGACTTCCCTGCAGCCCCGGCCTCTGGACGTGCTTCCTGGCTCCATACCCAAGCGTCTTTCATTCAGTTCCTCACGTGCTTCTATTTCACCCTCTGTCTTGTTTTTTAGATGCCCAGTCCCTGGCCCCCTCCCCCTAGAACCGGCCCGCCACCATTTCCACGATGGAAGGTGGCAGGCTCCGTTCCGTCCTCTGAGGTCAAGGCTGAGGATGGGAAGCAGAGCCCAGGCTCCCCCAGCCACCAGGGACGAGTGCAGGGGAGGGACGCCAGGCTTCAGACTGACTTCATCCACATAAGGGCTCATGAGAACCCTGGCAGAGACTCTGTCCATTGGGGCAGGCAGTACACTGTGCTCTTCCCAGAGCTCGGGCAGAAAGAGGGGGTATATGGGCCTCGTCCACTTGATCCGCTCCAGCAGCAAAGAATTCTCCATCAGGGCAGGATGGGGAAGCTGCACACCTGTCCTCAGAAAACAGCAGGATAACTGTGTCTCTGTGGACGGCCACCGAGTGCTGCGCGGGCAGTGGACACACAAGTTTCTACGAACGTGTAAGAGACACACTCCTACCATCCGTGGTGAGCTGGGCTCCACTGTGACCAGGGTGCAGACCGGAGCCCACAGCCCGCTCCTGTGCTTCGCAGCAGGTGTCGACGAGGCTCCCAGGCCAGCTCACTATTCACACACCGCTGGGTGCCATGGACCATCCCCCATCCACGATCCGTCAGCAGCGGAATGGACGCTGCCGGCGTCTTTCCAGGAAGATTCTCAGCGGCATCGCCACTCACTGTTCTAATCCATCTAAGGCCTCGTCGTCCAACTTGCAAAAACTCCTTAGCGGTGTGAAGGCCTCCTTGTTACCAGCCCCCGGCTGTGTGTGTGTTTTAATTTTGTGTTCATTCCTTGAGCAGAGTTATCGGAAAGCAAGTCGTGGAAGGCTGTGTTCAATCCATCTTTGAAACGATGGAGGTGGGCCTGCTCTCTGCTCACATCCAAGTCGTCTTCCTTCTCTCTCCACCTGCTCCCCCTCCTAGATTCCCACTTAGAGCTCAGGTACCAACGAGCAGGGACACGCAGAACCCGGCCAGGGGGTGTGAACACAACCGGCAGAATCTACGCCCACGCACAAGGCCACTGTATCCGCACGCGCGTCGGGATACACGTACACACACGCGTCCTGCGCCCTCCTGGCCTCTGTCAGGACACAGCGACGGACACCCTGCTTCCCCGTCAGCCCCCGGAGCCTCGGCGGGTCTCTCTCCTCCCTCTGGGCCTGGGAGTCTTTCTAGCTTCCCCCCCTTACCTGCCTGATCCCACTCAGCAAGCATCTCGGCTATTTAACCTGCTTGGTTCCTTGGTCAGAAACGTCCCGATTCAAATGTGCGCAACCCAAGGAAGGGGGCCCGCAGGAGGAGGAGAGAGGGGTTGGGGTCAGTTTCTAAAACCCAAAGCTATTGTGCCAGTTTCCTCCGGGTTTCCCCAACCTTCCCATTTAGCACCTTCCCAGATCTTTGAATCTAGCCTCCTCGAGAGAAACCTTGGGCTCTTTTCCCTGAGAAGGCGCAGTGGTCCTTGGAAGGGGAGGGGGGAACCTGCTTTCCGGTGGTGGTGGGGGAGACGGTCCCGTCTGAAGAAGCCTGGAGCGGGACTCCTGCCCCGGTCCAGGGAGCCAGAGCTGGGAGGACGATGTCGGATTTAAGACCAAGAGCCCGACTGGGCAGTTTCCCCCGTCCCAGCACCAGAGGCTCTAGGAGGACTGTAGCAGGCTTTGCTCCACACGTGGCACTGGTTTCTGAGAGCAGAGAAAGACGGCCACCCACCAGCCCGGTGTGGCTGTCGGGGCCACACCGTCAGGACGGGCGGAAGCCCCCGCGCCTTGCCCAGCCCCCAGCCCCAGACGGGGAGGCCGCTCACTGTTTCGGGGTTTCTCCTCGTCCAAGCCCTCGTCCTCGTTCTCGGGGTCGATGTCCTCCGCCTGCGTGATCCAGTCCAGGTAGCCCTTCAGGTCCTCTTCCAGCTGCTGCTTCTCCCGCAGCTTCTGGAAGTCGCCCCGGGCCTTGGCCTTCTCTCTCTCCTTGGAGAACTCTCTGGCGAGAGGGCGGAGGGCGGAGGGACAAGAAGAATAAGGGTTAATTGCTTCGCGTGGGAAGCCGCCAGCCGCACGCGCTGCACAGGCCGCTCCCCCTGCCCCCGGTCTGATCTGCTCTCACGAAAGAGGACGGAGTCACTGGGGCGGGGCGCTGCCCGACTCGGGACTCGATTGTGGGGTGGACCAAATCCACCACCCGTCTTTCTGGGCCACGATGGCAAGCTCTGCCTCTTCATTACAAACGTTCCCCGATGACCCGGAAAGGCCTTCCGAGCAGTAACCCGGCGGGACCCCCGCCATAGCCCCGGGAGACAAGGGCCTGGGGTCGAGCTGAAGCCCAGTCCCCGCACTGGCTCTGCCAACCCTGATGCCTCCTCGGTGGCTCAAAATCGGCCACGGTGGGGATACGCACACTGCGGAAATCGTCAAAGTTACAAACCAGGGCTTTTCCCCCCGCAAAGAGCCAGTCGTTAACGTTTACCAGGACACCACTGATGTCAGGCCCAGGAGACCTCACCTCCTCACCCCCCATTCTCATTTCTAGGGTTCGTTCTGCCCCGTTCAGCAAGCCTGGAGGGGTTTCTAATCTAGAGAATGTCCTTTCCCACATGGAGGGAGACAGAATAGGATTCCAGACACAGGAAAATGTCCTGGGGGGTGCCCTTTGGGTTAAAAAGGACATCTACTCAGAATGGAAAAATACATAAAATGAAGATGATATAAAAGTTAAATGAGGCGTTCAGTCTAAAGCAATGATGAGTAGAAACTAAAATTAAGCTGGGATTTGCTGGAAGAAAAGCTTATTGAAAAATTTTGGAGAGTGTCTGTTTCTTTCCTATTTTCTATGATTCTGTCCTTATTTTCTTTCTGACCTTGAATTCACTTTCTGAGCCAGGAGGGACCTGGCAGCCAAGAGGGGAGTCAGGGAGGCTGGTTCTCACTCTCAAAGCAAGTCTGTGCCTTTTCTTCCGAAACAGATAGGAGCAGCCTGCCTCTGACCTCCAGTATCTGGGAAATGGGGCTCCTGGTGTGTGTGTGTGTGTGTGTGTGTGTGTGTGTGTGTGTGTGTGTGTGTGTTGGGGGGATGCACTGGGCCTCTTGGTTTCTTCCTAGAGACGTGACTCCTCCTTCCCTCAGCAGTTGAGGCCTAGTTCAGGGTGGGAGGCTGCAGAGTCCACCTGAAAGGGATTCCTCGCACGAGACAGACACTCCACGGGAGGGCCCGTGGAAGGAAGGACACACCGACAAGCCATGGGGCAGGAAGGCTCAATCCCGGAGCCCCTGCGCCCACCGTCCAGGATCTGCATTCACTGCAGCCGCGGCAGGAGCAGAGACCTCAGCCGCGACCCTTTATGGTGAGGGTCGGGCCGGGAGGGGTCTGGGGGCCGTTTTCACCGGGAGCCGCGGGCTCCCGAGCTCCAAGTTCTCTTTGCTGCTTTGACGATGCTCTGGTTGGGATGGAACGTTCTTCACTTTGATTGACTCCAGTTCGAATTGGACCGAACTTGCTCTTTTCTTGGGCTTCCTGGCAGCTGGCGGCACCGTCCCTTCCTCCCCAGGGCAAAGGGGCTGCACTGACAGCTGACAGTGTGGAAGGAGGCCTTGCCTCCATGGCGGATGGGCCCGGAGAGAGTCCCCAGCTCTCCGCACCCGCCACTCCTCCTGGGGCTGTGGTTCGCCACCCGCAGAGTCACTTCACGGGGCGGGGCCCCCCTGCAGCTCCCAGACTGCAGCTCCAGGCGCCCCCCAACTGCCCTTCCGCCTCCTCACACTTGAGAACTCCATGCCTTGTGCAGCGGGTTCGGGTGGAAGGGTGACTGAGTAGCTAAGAGGCCGTGCTTCTCCTGGAGCTGGGATCAGACCAGAGCCGGGAAAGCTGACCCAGCCGTGCGTCACAGCATCTGCTCCGCAGAACGAAGGCTCACCACCCGCAACCCACGACCTCTGGGAACCAAGACAGACATCCGGGAGAAGAGGAAATGAGGTTTCCCGGGGTGCAAGGGGCTTCGAGAGGCAGCAGAGCCAGGAACCCGCGGAGCGTGGGGCACAGCCTGGCCCGGGCCGGGAGGAGGTGAGGGGCTCCCTCTCCGGGCTCCACGCAGCAGGGACGTGCAGGGCGGCAGCGCCCCGCTCTCTTCGTCTCCTCGCTGGACGTCCCACGCGGCCTGGGCCCAGGGGCTGGAGCCGCCTGCCCGGTCAGTCGCGGCGGGTCCGCGCGAAGGCAGGAGCACGTCCTGCGCGCGCAATGGCCGAGAGGACAAACGCGGTGGAGAGCCCGGGCCGGGTGCGCACTCGCACAGCTCGCAGGGGGCGGCCGCGTGAAGGGTCCGTCGGCGCAGCCGCCCGGGCTCCAGGCCCCGCGGTGACCCGTGTGGCTGGTTCCTGTCGCCCACGCGCTCCGCGTCTGCAGAGCCGCCTTCCCGCTAGGCCTCTTCTTCGTCACGCCATCCGCACCGCGAGCCCTCGCGGTCGCCGCGGACGCGCAGAAAGGTGGGACCCGGGGTCACGTCCCCGGCTGAGGTTGGGCGAGGGGCCGCTCGCCTCCTTGGTGGTGCAGCTCATACTGTGAATAAGAGCCTTTTTACAGCCCATTTCCGCATTTTGTGCTTTCCAGTGGTGATTTTTCTGATTAAAACGGCCCCCGAGCATGGAGCCGCCGTGCAGTCTGTGACCCTAAGGGCACGAGGACTGGGAGGTGCCTGACGGGTCAAGTCCGTGTGTCCGACAAGCAGAATCCAGGCCGGAGCTATGGGCTGTGGGCTGAGAGCTCGGTGCGAACGGATCAACACTGTGCCTTGAACGAGGCGACTTCACACAGACGCGCACACACGGCAGACTGTGTACTGACGGCAGTGTCGTGTCCAGAGCCTCGCAGGAACTTAACCCCACATCCCTTGAGGGCAGAGGCCAGTGTTCCCGAATCCAGGGCTGGTGGGCACCCTGTGGAACAAGCCTTCCAGGAATCATGCGCATCTCCCCTGCTCCAGCCACGAGGCAGTGGGTCCGGGCACTTCTGCTTCCTTGGGACCTGGATGTAGCATCTTAACTGTGGCCCGTGGTCAGGGATGCTTTCAGGTTGTGAAATGCCCATCCTCAGGCCCTCTGCCCCATCTCCCCGGGGGCACAAGAGCTGGGCGCCCACCCTCTAAGAGGTCCCGGGCCCCTTATCACCTGAAGACACACGTCTTCTGTGTTTGCAACCACTTAAAACCAAAAAGTAACCAGAGTCCAGGGTCCAGGGACTTTCACCCGATGGCACCTTCTAGTGCAATCTTGCAGCTGCCTTCACTGTAATTCTCATGGCTAGAGGCTGAGATATCTGGAGGGGAAGGTCATATAATCTGGTTCTTATCTGACTAATATCATTCCTATGACACGTGAGGATCAAGAGATGATGACCGTGGAAGTGTTTGGAAAAAATCCACGAGATGCACATTTACACGGACGCCTCCAGGCTCAGCAG